TCAAATTTTATGCAGGTTAAAGGGGCTCACTCATCAGGGAGGGCTTGGGGAGTAAAGGAAGGGCCCCATGTAGGTTGAAGCTTGAGTAGGTAGGAACCTTTAAGTAATTTTAGATAAAAACATGCCCGAAGGGGGATTACTAAGCTGGATTTTTTCTTGTATCTATCAATTGACTTCGGTACATGCTATAAACTGAAGATGATATGTATGGAGGTTGAAGCAGTACACCAGTTGATGGAAGCTCATACACACAAGTTTAAATGATTTGGCTTTGTTGATCATTCTATAAGCAGAGGGTTGATAAGGAATATTGAAGGAAAGGTGAAGAGGAGAGAGAATGAGTTTACTAAATAGTAACAAAGATATTAATGTCAATAAGCACCACCAGTGAGATGATAATGTCCAGAAGAACCACCAGTAATATATTAAGGACCAGAGGCATCATCGGTAATATATTAAGGACCAAAGGCACCATTAGTGATAAATTAGGGTTCAGACCCATCCTTAGTAAAATGGTCAGATGTTCTTATCACAAATTTGTTGGGGCTGAAGGCGGTCAGCAATAATCAAAATTCCATTTTAAACAATTTATAAAAGTTCAGGATACCCCACAATAAAAATAATAAAAATTTAATAAAAAAATAATAATAAAAATAATAAAAACCCAGAAAAACCCACCCGGGGAGGTACTACTGCCCCTGCCAAATGAGTGAAAGACAGAAACCTGTACTTGTTTTACTTTATGGTAGGGAAAGAAGTCTTTTTTTTCGGGTCTCTTTAAATGACAAGATAACAGTTAAATCTTGCTACTTATATTTAAAAAAATAGGCCCAAAACCCTCTAAATTTTTGTACACAACATGTATACACACAAATCTGAGTTTTCTTTTTTTTTTCCCTAATTTCTTGCTTTTATTTTTTTCCTTTAAATACCCTTTGGAAGTGGAATAAAAAATTTTTCATCTATAAGCCAGTGGTTGGAAAATCAATTAAAATGCCAGGAAAATGGGTAGAAAGCCCCATTTTCCCATCCCAGCTTACAAAAAATTTAAAAAAAAAAATTTTTAAAGGTTGGGGATTTTTGAATGTGCATGGATGTAGTGGGGGAGGATAAGAAAGGTTGAATGGGGAAATTTTGGGTGAATAAAAAGAATTTTTAAATTTTCCGGGCCTTAAGTGAAAAAAAAAGCTAAAAGGGGGTAGGGATTTTTCACTGGGGAGAAAAAAATGGGTTTTGGCCCAAGGGTTACTAATGGGAGATGAGCAAAAAGGAGTAGCAGTAATGTTGAAGGATCGGGTTTTCCCGGGAAAAAGAGGGAATCTAAATGTAAAAAAACAAGGATTATTTGAAGTAAAATAAGGGGGGGATGTGAAAAGTGGGTTTTAGTAAGGGGTTTATAAAATCAAAAAAAGATGGGAATGAGGGGAGAAAAAATTTTGGGAGATGTTCATGAGTGCATGGGGGTTTTGAACTAGGGTGGGATGGGTTTTTAAAGAGGCATGTTTCGAATGCGGGCAGAAGTTTGTGGTTAGGGGAGGGTGGGTGCGGGAAAAAGAGGAGTAAATTAAGGGAAATTTGTTTGGAGGAAAAAGGGTGGGGGAAAAAAGAAAAAGGGGTTTGTGAAATGGAGTTTTTTTACAAAAGCAGAATTTGTTTTAAAAGGAAGGGGTTGGGGAGTATATAGAGAGAAAAAGAGGGGGTGAAAAGAGTGGGGGGGAGAGTGCAAAAGGGGGAGTAAATGATAGAGTGGGTGGGGCCCACTGTCAACAAATTTTGCTGAGAAAAAAAAAAATTTTTGGAGTTTTTTAAATAAGTTAAGAAAGCCCTAGGGAACAAATGGTTTTGGACATTTAAAAAAACAGAATGGGGGTTAATTAGTAGAGGGGATTGGGGGTTTTGGGGAAGATGGTGGGAAATTAATTTGAGGAATTGTTAAATGTTGATGAAGAGGGGGGGAGGCAAAATTTTCATGAAATTGGGCCAGGGGTATAACAATTTTTTGGGAGCGAAGAAGGCAGGAGTGAGTGTGGGGGGGGTGGGGAAGCTTTAAACGTAAAGGGGGGGAAGGGGGAAAAGGGCAGCGGGGGAAGTGACAGGATCGTGCAAAAATTTTAAATTTCCGGGGAAAGATTTTTTTTTTGGAGTGGTTGGGTTTAATTTTTTTTCAAAAAATTTTTATGAAAGGGGGGAAGGTACCTAAGGATTGGCAGAGGGGCTGAAAGCATTGTATTTTCCCATTTCCAGGGTAAAGGGTCTGGCTCCCCGGTTTCCCTGAATCCCTTCAAAAAACATTTTACCCTGCCCCACACTCCAGAGTTCTTCAGGTCCAAAAACCTTTTGCCTCCTTTCAATTCTATCAAATTCGCTCACACCCCCGCTTGCTGGAACCCCCAAGGAGGTTTATCTATATTTTTTTAATTAATATGGGCTAGGAAAATTTGTGAAAATTAAATTTTTATTATTAAAAATTAAAGGCTTAAAGCCTTGAGTAATTACAGTTTTAATATGGGTATTTTCGGGCAACAAGGCACAACCTTTTTTCCCTTTTGCCGTTTTTCCCCGACAAATTTTTTTAAAAGGGGCTTTCTTTTCTCTTTTCTTTCCTTTTTTGTTCCAGACAAGCACAAATATTGGGGAAATTTGTAAATGGGAAACATTGCACTTAAAAAGGGAAAGGGGGTTTTTTTAATAATGAAAAAAATAAACCCTGTGTGGTGTCGTGATCCTATAATTTTTTCCCTTTAAAATTTAGCATCTTTCCCTTTCTCTGTATTTTTTAATTATTATCAGAAAATAGCAAGGACGATATTGTAAAAATTGCAACTAACTTTAAACCCTAGAAAAGGGGTAAAGTTTAAAATTTGTGAAATGTGTGGTGGAAGCTAATCCTGTGGGGATTGGTAATGTTTTTCAACTTTTAAAAAAAACCCGGGCATCTGTAATGCCTTCTCATGCATCATTTTTCTGAGTATTCACCAATAAACACAACTATTGAGGGAATTTTAACAATTTTAGATGTTTTTCCAAAATCATTAAATATTTGTCCCTGGGGTTTCAGGGATAAATTTATAAGGGAAAGGGGCTTTAAATTTAACCTTTTATAGAAAAAAATAAAGAATGAGATACAAATATTTTGAATTTAAAAGATGGGCAACTTTAAAAGGCTGAAAGCGAGTCCCTTTTGGACATTTGGCAAAAAAAATCATTTACAAGCCACCCTTGTTTGTAAAAAAATAACAAAAAAAAAAATATTAAAAATAGAAATATTTCCCTTTTTTTAATCTACCCCATCAGACATTTTTCTTACCAAAAGTAATTTTTTTTTTTAAACCCCTTTTAATGAATGTCAAGTAGAATAGATTTTTGAAAACCCGGGTCCCTAATAGATCTGCTTCATGAGCTCAGTTCACTCAGATAAATGGGGCAGTTAAATTTTTTTCCCAGGGTATGGGAAAAGTGGAAAATGTGTTGGGAGTGTGGGCAATATAAAAAAAAAAAAGCCCCATTCAGTGCAAGATAGGAAAAACAAAAAATAACCTTGTGTTTTTTTTTTTTAAAAATGACTTTGAGGGATTTTTTTATGATGGTTTTTTTGGTTTTAATTTTCCGGTTTTTTAGTATTTATTTGGGTAGAAAGAGATGTATTTTTTTGGGTTTTCCCGGGCTGGAAGTAGCCCTTTAAATTGGCCTCAAAATAGTAGAAAAAGTTTTTTTTTGTTGATAATCCCGAGGATGGGTTTAAGGGCCCCTTCTACACTTTTGGTTTTGTTTTTTGGGTTTTTAAAATTTTTTATCCCAGAAATAGGGGGATTCAAAAAGGAAAGGGAGTTTTTTAAAATAGAAAATTGGGGATGTGTTTTTTGCACGAATAAATGTTTTTGTTTTCCGGAGGTTTGGTTTTGTAAGGGGCCCGGGGCATCCACGGCATGTGCGGGGCCCTTTTAGATAAGGGTGCAGTGGTTTTTTTTGATTTGATGTGAGTTTAAAGGGAAGCTTGGGTGGAGTAAGGGAAAAATTTATGAAGGGAAAACAGGGGAAACCGTAAGCCCGGGCTTGAGTCTTTGGGGGGTGGGGAAAGGGCAGTGCCCGCACATGAAAGGAGGTGTGGGGAAAATTTTATTTCGAGGGGCAAACTGGCTGCAGTGGTTGGGGATGCCTCTGGCAAGGGTTGGGGAAAGGGGTTTAGTTTTTGGTGAAAGGGGTTTCTTGTTTTTTTGGGGCCCCCCCTGCCTCGTGGGGGATGGCCAGTGTATTAAAACAATTTTCATGCCACATTGACATTAAAATCAAAGGCTTCTTAAAAACTAAAAGTAGCCCTTTTAGTAATGTTCTCTACAAAAAACAAAAACAGTAAATTTTTGAATTTAGCTTTCATTCTGGGAAAATAAAAAAACCTGCCAAAAAGGGGTGACACCGCCTTAAATTTTAATTTTTTTCCCGTTTTTCTTGAAGAAAAGTTGCAATTTTGCTTAAGGTTTCTGCTGTGAATGATTGCAAGAAGTCTCCACACAACAGCATATCAATGTTTACATGTTTTTGATGAATTTATTTTTCCTGGATATCTGAGAGATTTACCCATTGGCTATGATACTTTGTTTTCATAGTGATTCGGTGAGAGAGAGCAACTGGTCCTACACCTGATTGCAGTGTTTGGAAAGTTGTAAAGACTTCTTGAGCAGTTTTGCTTTTTAATCGAATTTTGCATGGTGGCTGTAAAAAGATTTACTGTATTTCAGTAATGTTTGTTCATTCAAGCTGCATGAATAGATGATGACTTGATCAAGCCTTGGATGTGGTCCTGGTCTTTTCTGTGGCCTGAGTGCCATGAAGACTAACAAGAAAAGGAAAAATGTGCCTTAAAAAATTTTCATTATCATCCTTAGTGATCATCATGGTCATCTTTCATTTTTTCACCTACATCATCATCCTCCTCTTTCCTTTCATCTTTACCATTTGCACTTCTGTTTTGTTCATTCTCTGAGCTCACTTGTCTTTCGCAGACCACCTGTGTATGATATACGAGAGCTACAGGTATTAGAAATGATGGACCATGATGGCATTAATGGCGCGGGTCCCAATAACCTCGATAAGGAGCGAAATATGGTTAATGATGATCCCAAGTGGCAAGGTATTCTGTTTTGTTCTTTCTCTCTGAATTTTAATCATCAAGGGATCACTAGCTCAGCTATTTTTCATTACAGGAATTATGAAATGTATGAATTATGAAATGTATGTTTTTCTTTTTCGGGCCACCCCACCAAGGCATGGTGGCCTGAAAAAGAAAAACTTTCACCATCATTCACTCCATCACTGTCTTACCCTTCTGGCAAGACAGTGATGGAGTGAATGATGGTGAAAGTTTTTCTTTTTCGGGCCACCCTGCCTTGGTGGGAATCGGCCAGTGTGATAATAAAAAAAAAATGTTTTTTGTATCATCATTTTGTTACAGAATCATACACAGCAATCCCTTACTTTATATGTAAGTTGCTGTTATGAATTCACTCGTATAAGATGATTTATTTCCGTCAGCAATTCCCTATGTGTAATATAGATTCATTTTTATATGATCATTACAGTTTTCAAAACATAAGTGAGGTCTGGGTGATGCAGTGCACTTTGAAATTAATACAGCTGCTGAGTTGTACACCTGAAATTGTACACCTGAATTGTACACCTGAATTGTACACCTGAATTGTACACCTGAAATACATTTTTCACATAAAGCAAGGGACACCTGTATTGTATTATTTATTGCAGCTCATGTAATTGACTTATTCCTTTGTTGCTTTTACTGCTGCTAATGTCATTACTTATTCCTTCCACTGATTAATGAGTATTACAGCCATTTTGTTTCATTTATTTGAGGAGTTGCAAATAGTAACATTAAACTCACTTGACATCTTAAATATGGTAAAAATGCTTTAACTTGTGTATTTATGAAAGGCACTGCATGCACTCTTAGGGGGAGGGGGGGATGGTATAGGCAGAGGTGATTTTCATTGTGATGCTAGCAAGACACCAATTCAAAGAATGATGAATGTGTTTTTCTTTGGGTCACCGTGTCTTGGCAGGAGATGGTTCTTGAGGTAAAAGAAAGAAAATATGTGCAGTAGGTATAAATTGTTGTGGAAGATGTAAAGTTAAAGATAAAGATGAAGAACTTGTTGTAGATGATGTAATATGTCAGTTAGGAGTGCCCAAGGTGATGTAATATGTCAGTTAGGAGTGCCCAAGGTGATGTAATATGTCAGTTAGGAGTGCCCAAGGCAAATGATGATAGTGGCTTCATGTTGAATTATGTCCAAAAATAGGTTTGGTAATGGATAATGCATATACTTAGTTTTTTGAAAAAAAAAAAAAGAATAAATAAGGTCTTGGCAAGAGGCGTGGAGTTAAAAGATAAAGAATCACACATAAAGTGAGAGTTGTCACAGTTGCTCTTTGCTGATGACATTGTGCTCTTGGGAGATTCTGAAGAGAAGTTGCAGAGATTGGTGGATGAATTTGGTAGGGTGTGCAAAAGAAGAAAATTAAAAGTGAATACAGGAAAGAGTAAGGTTATGAGGATAACAAAAAGATTAGGTGATGAAAGATTGGAGGGAGAGAGTATGGAGGAGGTGAATGTATTCAGATATTTGGGAGTGGACGTGTCAGCGGATGGGTCTATGAAAGATGAGGTGAATCATAGAATTGATGAGGGGAAAAGGGTGAGTGGTGCACTTAGGAGTCTGTGGAGACAAAGAACTTTGTCCTTGGAGGCAAAGATGGGAATGTATGAGAGTATAGTTTTAACCAACGCTCTTATATGGGTGTGAAGCATGGGTGATGAATGTTGCAGCAAGGAGAAGGCTGGAGGCAGTGGAGATGTCATGTCTGAGGGCAATGTGTGGTGTGAATAATAATGCAGAGAATTCGTAGTTTGGAAGTTAGGAGGAGGTGCGGGATTACCAAAACTGTTGCCCAGAGGGCTGAGGAAGGGTTGTTGAGGTGGTTTGGACATGTAGAGAGAATGGAGCGAAACAGAGTGACTTCAAGAGTGTATCAGTCTGTAGTGGAAGGAAGGCGGGGTAGGGGGTCGGCCTAGGAAAGGTTGGAGGGAGGGGGTAAAGGAGGTTTTGTGTGCGAGGGGCTTGGACTTCCAGCAGGCATGTGTGAGCATGTTTGATAGGAGTGAATGGAGACAAATGGTTTTTAATACTTGACGTGCTGTTGGAGTGTGAGCAAAGTAACATTTATGAAGGGGTTCAGGGAAACCGGCAGGCCAGACTTGAGTCCTGGAGATGGGAAGTACAGTGCCTGCACTCTGAAGGAGGGGTGTTAATGTTGCAGTTTAAAAACTGTATTGTAAAGCACCCTTCTGGCAAGACAGTGATGGAGTGAATGATAGTGAAAGTTTTTCTTTTTCGGGCCACCCTGCCTTGGTGGGAATCGGCCAGTGTGATAATAAAAAAAAAATGAGATTTTTTTTTTTTAACACATTTGCCATTTCCCACCGAGGCAGGGTGACCCAAAAAAAGAAAGAAAACCCCAAAATAGTAATAATAGCAGTTTTTTAGATTATGTATTAGTGGACTAAAGGTTAATGGATAGACTTTTGGATATGCATGTTTTTAGAGGGGGGGGGGCACAAATATACATATATCATTATTTAGCCTTAAACTGTGCACGATGTGTACATATACAGGAGCTCGTATGGTGCAATGTACAATATATTAATGCGAAAGGACAAAAAGCCACGATACTGTGGCTGGAGCAGTTCACATGATACCTGCACTTAGTAGAGGAATTCTTTCACTACTACTGCTGGAAACACTGCTGTGTTAGAGAGGAGTGAATAGTGACAAGTGGTTTTTAATTCACAATCTGTGAGAGGGATTCAGGAGAAACTGGTTATCAAGATTTGAGCCCTGGAGGTGGGAAGGGCAGTACCTGCACTCTGAAGGAGGAGTAAATGTTGCAGTCAGAGGATAATGTTATTGTGATGTCATCACACTCCTGCCAAATGTGTATATACATGCACAGAATTCCCCAAGATGGCTGCAGCATGCTAGAATGGGACCAATGAAGAATATTCCATACATACGTGAAAGTATATTGATATCTAATACCTGAGTGCATTTAGGTTTGTCACTGGTGAGGGTATAAAAACTCTTGATCACACGCAAACTTATGGGGATGTGATGATGAGTGGAAACCAGGCTGTGTGTCTCCAGTGAAGGGTGACTCAAACTCATGACAGGTTTGAGTCACCTCCACAGTCTGAATTGTTAAAAAATATACATATTTTTACAATGTGCCAAATTAGCTACTTTGTGATTGCCATGTAGGGCTGTGGGCCAGAAGAAGCAACAGCTTGTTCGATCAGACTGTGGGAAATCTGGTCTCAGGCCAGGCTGTGATAATAGAACTTAAAATCAGAAAGATCAAAAAGGCACAATACTGTGACTGAGACACTATCCCCCCCCCCCCACACACACACATACATACATACATACATACATACATACATACATACATACATTAACCTTTTTCCACCAAGGTAATGCATTCTGAATTATCTATCTTGGCAGAAGTGTGGAGACATTATAATTCAAATGATCACTCTAACCTCAACATCCCCAGCTTTCATAGGTTGACATAATTGGACTCATTTCAGGGCTGAATTGCTGATAAAATACAGTGGAACCTCAAATTTCGAACTTAATCCATTCCAGGAGCTAGTTCTAAAGTCGAAAAGTTTGAAAGGCGAAGCAATATTTTTCATAAGAAATAATGGAAATACAATTAATCCATTCCAGAAACCCAAAAATATTCACAAAAAAAATTTTTTTTATAGAGATTAATTATAGTTTTACATACACACAACAAATATAGTGTACAATTATTAATAAACTTAAATAAACATATAAAATAACATTTTTACTTACCTTTATTGAAGATTAGTGATGGCATCTGAAAGATAGGGAGGAGGACAGAGGGAGTTGGGGGTTAGTGTTTGGAAGGGGAATCCCCCATCATAAGGACTTTAGGTTTCAAAGCCCTCTCTGGGGTTACTTCCCTTCTCTGTCTTTTAATGCCACTAGGACCAGCTTGAGAGTCACTGGACCCCTGTCTCACAAAATAACTGTCCACAGTCCTCTGTTTCTGGTGCCTCTTTAACCCTTTGAGGGTTTTCGTCGTACTAGTACGTCTTACGCGTAGGGGTTTTTGACGTACTAGTACTCATAAATTCTAGCGACCTCAAATCTAGTGGGAGAAAGCTGGTAGGCCTTCATATGAAAGAATGGGTCTATGTGGTCAGTGTGCACAGTCTAAAAAAAATCCTGCAGCACACGGTGCATAATGAGAAAAAAAAAACTTTTTCCATTTTTTTTTAATAAATCAGCGACTTTGCAGTGTATTTTCGTATAGTATTTATTGTTGTATTCTAGTTTTCTTGGTCTCATTTTATAGAATGGAGACATATTACTGAAATTGAGATGATTTTGACTGGTTTTACAATGAAAGGTGCCTTGAAACTGAGCTCAAAGTAGCAGAAATGTTCGATTTTTACCAAACTTCAAAAGTAAACAAATCGTGCCAAGCGTGCAATACACGTCAACTGGTGAGTCTAATATTCTTTCACAAGTGCACCAATAATATTTATACCATTTTTTACACTAATGCAGTAGTCTGCATAACAGTAAATCTTATATTTTTTGTGAGAATAAAAATTCAAAGTGAAAGCAAAAGAATATAAGAGGGGCCTTGAGACGTGACTAATGACTAGAGGAAATGTCATTTTAGTGCCAGGAATGTCTTTCTTGTTTATTCTGGACCCTATTCCGAAATTGGCATCTTTTGAAATTTGTGTGAAATTGGCAAAATTGCTAAATTCTGACCACTGTACTGGATAGTTGAATTTATAAATGGGTGGTTTCTTGCACCCATTCGATAGAAAAAATGGAGTTCTAGCGAAATATTCATGTTTTTTGTCGACTAGTACAGTGAAATTGGCCGAAAATGGGGCTCAAAGTGGGCAAAATCGCCGATCCGTAAACATCGCCGAGACCGCTAACTTTGCGAGAGCATAATTCCGTAAGTTTTCTATCAAATTTCAAACTTTTGGTGTCGTTATGATCGGGAAAAGATTCTCTATCTTTTCATAAGAGAAAAAATTTTTTTTTTTTTAAATTTGCCCGACCCTGAGAACGAGTTTCGGAGAGGGCCTGTCGACCCTCAAAGGGTTAATATTTCCCTAAAATGGGACATGGTTCTGTCACTGAACTTGTTGCAAAGATGGCTTGTTTCAGCTTGCTCAGGTTAGTACTTCTCCACAAACATTTGGACATCATTCCACTTGGTGCAAACCTCCTTAACCCTTTCAGGGTCCGTGCCGTAGATCTACGGCTTTATGTTCAGGGTCCAAACCGTAGATCTACGGCTTTATGTTCAGGGTCCAAACCGTAGATCTACGCCATGAGCTCAGCTCACTCTGATAAGCTGTGAGCAGTAAATTTGGGCCTAGATATGAGAGAATACATCTATGTGGTATGTGTGCACCACATAAAACAAATCCTGCAGCACACAGTGCATAATGAGAGAAAAAAAACGGAGACCATAATTTTTTATTAAAACAGCGACTTTGCAGTATTTTTTGTGTGTTTTTTATAGTTGTATTTGCAATTTCTTGGTCTCATTTGATAGAATGGAAGATATACTACAGAAATAGAGACGATTTTGATTGGTTTTATTACGGGAAATGGCTTGAAACTGAGCTCAAAGTAGCAGAAATGTTAAATTTTTGCCGATGTTCAAGAGTAAACAAATGACCTCACAAGTCTAATGTATGACAGCTGGTGGGTCTAATATACATTCACAAATGTGGTGATATTATTTATAAAGTTATTACAGTATTGCATAACAGTAAATCTTCTATTTTTTGGTTTGAATAAAAATTCATTATGTGAATAAAAAATCAAAATGGAATTCATTTGTAAAGCCTGAAAATGTGCCAGGAATGCCTGCATTGTTTATTCTGGACCCTATTTTGAAATTGGAATACTTTGAACTTTGCGTTAAATTGGCCAAATTACCAGTTTCCGGTCACTTTATTTTGTTGTTGATTTTGTTGTTTATTTTGTTGGCGATTTCTTGTGCTCAATCGATAGAATAGAAGTAATACTAGTGAAATAGCTAAGAATTTGGTTGACTGGAATACTGTAATTGGCCTAAAATGGGAGTCAAAGTCGGCAAAATCGCCGATGCAGAAATATCGCCAACACATCAAAATTCGCAAGAGCATAATTTTGTCAATTTTCCATCAAATTTCGTAGTTTTTGTTTTATTACCTTCAGAAAAAGATTCTCTACCATTTCATAAGAAAAAATAACAAAATTATTTTATGAAAATTCTTGGACCCTGGTGCACACTTTGAAATTTGGCCTCTGGACCCTGAAAGGGTTAATCTTTGCATCGGCATGCAACTTTCTTGCCTTTTCACAAATAATCGTTTCTGAAACACTCATCTGCCATCTCTTTGTCCTTGATCCACACCAGCAACAACTTCTCAACCTGATCGATTGTCTGTGGTCTTTTTTTGGTTAGCATATCAACACTTTTGCAACATCAACTTCCTTGATTTGTTCTTTCTTTGCCAGGATAGAAGCAATGGTTGACTTGTTTTTCCCGTACATCTTGGCAAGCTCAACAAGTCGCACACCACTCCCATACTTCTGTATTATGTCCTTCACATCTATGGTGTTTCTCACTTTCTTTACCCCAGGGGTACCACTAGCAAGTTTCTTTGGGCCCATGGTAGCTTATTTCATAGTCCCACAAGCACTAAACACAACGAATTAATTGTAAAATGTTTGAATGAGACCACAGGTTAGTGATCACTCAAGCATTGACAAAGCCAGACTGGCTCACAGCACCTGCACGGGGACACGGACAGAGTGGGCTGGCGGACCGGCCCGGTACCCGGCGGTTCGAAAGAAGGGGGCGAGTTCGATAATAGGGACAAAGTTGGTTCAAAAAAAGTGGTCGATTTTCGAGGAGTTCAATAAGTGATACATTCAAAATTTGAGGTTCCACTGCATGCAGCATAATCACTGTTTAATACTTATATTGATTCTGTCTCTCTCCAGATACCAGTTATGTTTTAGCTAATTATAAGACTGAGCAGTGCAAGCGGCCGCCCAGGTTATGCCGGCAAGGTTATGCATGTCCTCAGTATCATAATTCTCGCGATAGGAGAAGATCACCAAAAAAATGTAAATATAGGTAAGAAAAAGATTTATGTTGCCTTTGCAACGTGTACAGTTACGAATTTTGATTGCAAATCATCATTTTCTTAATCTCTGATATAAACACTTTAAAGTAAGGGCAGTTGGTGCTGCTTGCATTACATGTATTTTGTTCTACCTAAATCTTCCTCTCATGTGTTATGCATATAACTTTTGACTGGTACCTAAATCTTCCTCTTATATGCTACTCAACTTGTCTGGCACTAAACCTTCCTCATATTTACTACTCATAACTTGTCTGGCACCTAAATCTTTCTCTCATGTTCTTCATACATAACTCTTGTCATCCTTAAATCTTCCTCTCTTGTACCAGTAATGATACCCCATATATAACTTGTCTGGTACCTAAATATCATCATCATCATCACTACCTGCTGTATATAAATTTATTATTGTAGAGGTGAATAAGAGATCATAGATTATGTAGGTAAATTCATTTGTTTAGATATGCTCTATATTAGTAAATACAAAATCTGTTATAATTTAGTTAGATTTATCTTTTATGAATACTTGTGGCCCTGGAATTGTTGTTTGTATTTTACTTGTATCTCTGATGTTGAGGGCTTTTTAGTAGTAGCTGGTGACATAAAACTCTTAATGGCAGGTCTACTGCGTGTCCTAACGTTAAACATGGTGATGAGTGGGGGGAGCCTAGTAATTGTGACAACGGAGACATTTGCCAGTACTGCCACACTCGCACTGAGCAACAGTTCCACCCAGAAATTTACAAGTCCACCAAGTGCAACGATATTCAGCAGAATGGCTACTGCCCACGAGGAGCCTTCTGTGCCTTTGCTCATCAAGACCGTAAGTCATTAGTTCCTTTACCTCCACCCTAGGTCACTAGTCCTTCTATTTTCATGGTAAGTCATGAGTGTGTCTACCTTTCCCTTAGTCCCTAGTCTCTCTACCACCACTCTAAGACATGAGAATTAGCATTAACTTTGCATTACCCAAAGTTACAAATTGACACTGTAACCACCCCTTTTAAAATAAAAAAAAAAAAAGTTATCTTAAAATGTGCATTGAAAGTCTTCATCTGTTTCACTGTACTGTTCAACATTGTTTTGCTCAATTTTTATAATTTCTTTTCTTCCTCAGAGGAAATGACTCAAGTTAGAGAAACTGCAGCAAGTGAAAATTGCACTGGGACAAGTTTAGCTGACATCCTTCAATCTGCTCTCCCTGTGGACAACCATGTAACGCCGTCCTCCACCACGGCTTCAACAACTCATTGTAATTCATCTCAAATCTCTAAAACAAATACTGTAAGCCTTAGCCATTTTTACTTTTAATATTGTTATGAGCATATTCATCATAATAGTAGGCAGTTTTGTGACTGAGCAAATTCAGCAAGAAGTTTCAAAGTGCAGTAGACTGTGACATGTGAAAATTGTTCCAAGGATAAAAGACACATGGTAGAATTTCTTATAGTTTAAAAGATTGCCACATGGTAGAATTATTGCTAGGGTTAATCCAGTTTTGTTTATGGGACACTACTTGATTAGTTTGCATTGTATAAGTCTTAAAACCCTGAAAAATGCAAAATTAAGTCTACTTAACAAATTCTCAGGGTACAAAAATGCAAAATAAAGTCTGCTTAACAAATTCTCAGGGTATAACAAATTGTTTTAACTCCCACTTTGTATTAGATTCATTAGCTTTTAATCCTAACATTCACTTCTTTTACATCCCCCATTTATAAATATGTATAACCACCACTGAACTTAGTGATTATGTATGAGTGAGGTGAAAGTATTGAATGATGAAAATATTTTCGTTTTGGGGATTTTCTTTCGTTTTGGGTCATCCTGCCTAGGTGGGAGATGGCTGACTTGTTGGAAAAAAAAAAACACCATGTTGACATTGCACATCCCTAAGGCTTGCTTTTACTGTAAAAGATAGCAAAGCTCAGGCTAGGATGTGTAGATTATTTTTCAGTAAAAGTTTTACTGAAAAATAATCTACACATCCTAGCCTGAGCTTTGCTATCTACACAGAAAACTCTACTTATACCTCTTAAGTAACCTAATCCATACATTTGCACATCTGCCACATTGCTTCCCTATCCACCCTGTCATGTGCCATTTCTAAATGCATAAATGCAATTATTTTTTTTAACACGGCCATCTCCCACCAAGGCAGGGTAACCTGATGAAGAAGAAGAAACACTTTTGCCATCACTCAGTCTGTCACTGTCTTGCTAGAGGCTTGCCATCATTACAGCTCTGATGCTTCTCCCTCTTTCAGAGTGCAAGTGTTGTATTTCCTACCTCCAGGACTTGAGTCCAGCTAACCAGTTTCCCTGAATCCCTTCACAAATGTTACTTTGCTCACAATCCAACAGCACATCAGTCATGAAAACTAATTGCCCCCACTACCATCAGACACACTTGCACATGCCTGTTGAATGTCCATGCCCCTCACATGCAAAACCTCCTTAACCAACCACCCCTCCATCCAACCTCTCTTAGGATGACCCCTACCCCTTATTTCCTCCACTACAGATTTATACATCCTCCAGGTCATCCTATTTTGTTCCATCCTCTAAATGTCACAACTACCTCAATAACCTCTCCTTGGCCCTCTGGAAAATACTTTTAGTAACCCTATTCCTCCGAATTTCCACTGCCTCCAGCCTCCTTGCTGCAATATTTCAAAACCATGAACAATATTCTAAACAAGAGAATTGAAATGATTTGAAAATTGTCACCATTGGCACTATTTCTATTGTTTTGAATGTTCTCATTATCCACCTGGTCATCTTCCTGGCTGTTGTGACATTTGCCTTGTTGTGTTCTTTGAAAGAAAGTTCAGCCAACATAATTACTCCCAGGTCTTTTGTGTGTTTCTTTCGTTCTATTTGATGGTTCCCTTGAGTTTTGAACACTCTCTTTTCAGTTCTTTACTTTTTTCGTATCTAAGCAACTGGAACTTGTTCCCATTGAATGTCATGTTCTCTACTTCCCACTGGGAAACCCTGCTTATATCTTTTTTTCACTCTAAATTTCCTTCGTTTAAATATTCAAAGTTTTCTCTGGAATTGGATTTTATATTTAGGATCACTCACTAATTTTCAGCAAAATAATTCAATAGATTTTTGCAGTTTATATCTCTGTTGTTGAATGAAAAGGCACAATTCCGGTTATGGTAATGTACCTTTAACTCGCATATAGGAGAGGGAGAAACTTACGATGATGTTTGAGTCCTACTTGAGCATTTACAAGTCACACACACTTGTATATGGTCCAAGGCAAACTGAAACATTATCATAGTCTTCTCTTTCTTATGTACAGGTTATTTGTGCATCTGTTATTGTATATTTCTATGCTAGTTAGATTTTCACAGTTTTGTTTCATTTTTAAATACATTCACATTGAAAGACAGCTGTGTAAACACTAATGTTTCATTGAAATTTATATTTTATTTAATTTTAAATTTCAGTAATTTGTGTTTATAATAATCACTAAAGCTTTCTTGTTTTATCATTTTCAGGTAACAAGCATTAGCAATAATATAGACTCTGTATTTGGTAATGGGATGAGTCATCCTCCACCACCTCTAGCACCTATTGGCAGTAAACCACGCCACTTCAGTGGGAACACACTTTTAGGAGGCTCTTCCGATGCTCTAGGTTTAAGTGGAAGCTTAGGAGGTGGAGTGAGTGGCTTGAGTATAGGTGGTCTGAGCTCATACCACAAAGCTCCAGGCTCAGAACGGGAAGATCGGGAAACCAACTTTAAAAAACAATTAGCTGCCATCGATAATGATCACTCTATAGATCCCCAGGAGAAAAGTAAACGTAAACAGTCTCTCTTCTTAGCCAATATGATCCCAAGCCACCCAGCAAACATCAGCCTTCCCATCACCCTCCCTGTCTCTGTTCCTGTTTCACAGTCATCCTCCTTTGTGTCATCGCTACCCTCCAGCTTATCATCGACAGTCTCTCCCCTGGCCCCTCCATTCTACCCCACCAGCGACACTGTGGAATCTGTTGTAGGTAAGTGTCTTCATCATTCTGCTCAGTAGGGCCTTTTGAAGTGGGGCAAACTCATAATACAACCCTTCTTAACACTGAATTATTTCTTTTTAAAATGATGCTTTAGATCATTGACTCCCAAACTTAGGATTGTGACCCTGAAAGAAATTGAGCAATGTGCTGCAGTGCTGAGTAGGTACTAGTACCATTTGGATTGTGAGGCAAATGTGATGATAAATTTTTGGTTGTGAACAAGATAATGGAAACCATTACTTTAAAAGCCTGGTATTAAAAGCACATGATAGAAGAAATGTGTTGAAGGGCTGTATAAATTACTTAGACTATACAACAAACATTGTCCTATAAAAACGAAACAGATCACAAACAAACGGCTTGGTTGCCCATGGCTAACCAGCACCATTCTGAAATCCATTGACAAGAAACACCAATATGAAAAGCAATATAGACAGGGCTTAATACACAAAGATATTCTTAAACACTATTCATCAGTTCTCACCAAAGTAATAAAGAAAGCCAAACAACTATACTACTCCAGTAGATTCACAGACACTAGAGGAGATATAAAAAAGACCTGGAAAACACTCTCAGATTCTAGGGACCCACAAACTGAAAAAAACCAAGATATTGTCCTAACTAAACCTAATGAAACACCACTACATCCCACTGACACAGCTAACAAGATAAACGACTTCTTCTCAACCATAGGATCTAATCTCGCCAATAAAATCCCACATACTAATGCCCATGCCAGGGACTACCTAGATGGGAATTTCCCAAATTCCTTCTATCTTGCACCAACTGAGCCCTCGGAAGTCACCGAGATTATAAAGTCACTTAAAAACAACTCAGGGAATCTGTCTAATGTCCCACCATTACTGTACAAGCGAGCAGCCCATATCCTTTCGCATGTTATTTCATTACTTTTTAACAAGTCACTAGAAACTAGCACCTTCCCGAAACTACTCAAGATGGCAAGGGTTACACCAATACATAAAGGTGGTGACCCTACAGACTTAAACAACTATAGGCCAATATCAAACTTACCATTGCTATCCAAAATCTTTGAGAAACTCGTGCACAGGAGACTATATTCATTTATAACAGCACAAAACATACTCAACCCCTGCCAATTTGGATTTAGGAAAAATAAAAGCACTAATGATGCAATCATAAAAATGCTAGATCTGCTTTACACAGCATTGGAAAATAAGGAATATCCACTAGGAATTTTTATTGACCTAAGAAAAGCTTTTGACACAGTAGACCACAACATCCTACTCCACAAACTTGACCATTACGGTATAAGAGGCCATGCGCTTGCTTATTTCAAATCTTACCTTACTAATAGGTATCAGTATGTTACCATTAAAGACACAGCATCAACAACACGGCCACTTGATACTGGAGTTCCGCAGGGAAGTGTCCTTGGTCCCCTGCTCTTCCTCATATACATCAATGATCTTCCAAACGTATCCCAACACCTGAAACCCATTCTCTTTGCTGACGACACGACTTATGTCATCTCTCGCCCTAATCTTGCCACCCTCAACACCATTGTTAACAAGGAGCTGATCAAAATATCGACTTGGATGACAGCCAATAAACTTACGCTTAACACTGACAAAACCTACTATATTATGTTTGGTAGCAGAGCAGGAGATGCACAAATTAACATTAAGATCGACAATACTCTAATTACCAGACATAATGAGGGCAAATTCCTAGGCCTATACCTTGACAACAACCTGAATTTCAGCACCCATATCCAACACATAACCAGAAAAGTATCCAAAACAGTTGGGATCCTCTCCAAAACCAAAAAAGTATCCAAAACAGTTGGGATCCTCTCCAAGATACGATACTACGTGCCTCAAAATGCCCTTCTCACACTATACCACTCACTTATTTATCCATACCTCACCTATGCTATTTGTGCTTGGGGATCAACTGCAGCAACACACCTAAAGCCAATAATAACCCAACAAAAAGCTGCAGTAAGAATAATCACTAAATCCCATCCCTGGCAACACACCCCCCCACTCTTCATAGATCTAAACTTACTCCCTGTTCAGTACATCCACACTTACTACTGTGCAATCTACATCTACAGGACCTTAAACTCCAATATCAACCTTGACCTAAAATGCTTTCTTGATAGTTGTGACAGAACCCACAGGCATAACACCAGACACAAACATCTCTACGACATTCCCATGTCCAACTAAACCTTTACAAAAATTCAATGTATGTCAAAGGCCCTAAAATCTGGAACACCCTACCTGAGAACTCTAGAACTGCAGACACATTCATCACCTTCAAAACTACCATTAGAAAACATCTTATCTCCCTGATAAACCCCATCAACTAACTACACGAATATCACCTGGTGGTTCACACTTACACTCACTCACCCATTTGACCATAAACAGAAATATTAATCTCAATCTTAAAATAATGAATCCTATGATACTCCAATACTGAAACTATATTTCTGTGCCAAAACAAAAGCATTCACATTGCTAAACTCACAAACTAGTATTTAGTCACTTAGCCATAATACCAACTTACCTCATAATTTGTAATATTTTAAAAAAAAGAATTAAACTAAGTCTGCCCAAAATGCCTAGCCATGCTAGGCGTTCTAGTGGTACACTCTGTAATCATTATTTAACTACATGTAAACCACACAACAACCAAATTCTGTAAATTCAACATTGTAATCTTTATAGAGAATAAACTTTGAATTGTTCAAGGAAAAGTAATATGTCTACTTCAAAACCTTAAAAGGATGTAGACAAAATTATTTTAGAGGGATTAAGTTTAAAAGCCAAGAGGTTCCTATTTTTTTTTTTTTTTTATGAATTGCATGGGACAAAATAGGATGTATATGACTGTTGATGCTGTTTAGAGCATTACACAAAATGACTTTAACAAATGTCATTTTGTGTAACAGGTATATGCAGCATTTACAGTACTATTTGAATATGATCAAATCAAACCTGTAACATTACAAGATAGAACTGCATTGTAAATTCATAAACAAGTTAGGACATGTATGTTGTACAGTGGACCCCCGGTTATCAGCCAGTGAGGAAATCAGCCAGTTCGGAAATCGAGCACTTTTTTTTTTGGTGAAATTTACCCCCGGATTTCGTCCATCCGCGTCCACCCACCGGTGACACATTTCGTTATGCATATCACACTCAGTCTGAGCGTCTCTCTCGTTGGGCTAGGAATACTCCGCTCGTTCATCCATTGTTTTTGGTGCTTGTTTATTGATTGCAACTGTGAAATAAGCCACCATGGAGCCAAAGAAAGTTCAGACTGCCAGCCCTTTGGTAAAGAAGGTGAGAAAACACGATAGAATTCAAGAAAGAGTTATAGCAAAATATGAAAATGGTGTACTTGTGGCCCATCTCACCAGGATGTATGGCAAGTCGACATCAACAATCAGTTCCATCCTGGTGAAGAAAGCAGACATCAAGGAAGCTGATGCTGCAAAAGAGGTAAATATGCTAACTAACGAAACGGAGACGCCAGAAACAGGCCTCTCTGGACAGATTCTTTGTGCAACAGGGGTGCAGTGACTTTCAAGCTGGTCCTAGTGGCAGTAAAAGACAAAGAAGGGAAGTAACCCTAGTGATGGCTTTGATACCTGAAGTCCTTAGAGAGGGGGATTTCCCTTCCAAACAATAAACTCTCCTCCCTCTCCCCTCCTCGTCGTCTTCCATATGTCAGCAAGTCTTCAATAAAGGTATGTAATGTTCATTTATTAAAATTAGTGCTTTATATTTCTTTTTCATTGTTTTCTGTATGTAAAACTGTAGTTATTCTTAAAAAATATATTTTTTGTTAATTGGATTTATGTACATTATTTCTTATGGGACATTTTACTTCGGTTTTCGGCCATTTCGGATTTAGACCAGCCTTCTGGAACGAATTACGGCCGATAACCGGGGGTCCACTGTATACTGTAAAATCTCAGATTTAGGATGTAATGGAAGGCGCACAGTGGTACCATTGCTGCAGTGGACTCAGTCCCCTGCATTGGAGGTTTCTTGGTGCAGGTCACATCCAGTAACTGTCTTGTTTTAGGGTGAGGGGGCCAGTGGCCCATCCCACATAACTGTCATTTTGTACACTCACATTATTATCATTTAGTCTTGAATTTTTCTTAGATTCAGTGTTTTTATTACTTTATTTTAATATGAAGTACTGTATTGTACATTTAACTTTTATTTTAAGATAATTTACTATACTGTACTGATATTAGTATTTATATAGTATGTCTGTCATGTCGTCAATACAGCGGATTAAGTCTTCTGCATGGAGCATTTTTCCATGTCTGGTAGTATGAGTGCAGCAGACCTCGTCTACTTCATTGGGCACTTCAGTCTAACTGATTTTTGCTTTAATGGACACCACCTCCCCTCCCCCATATTAAGTTCATTTGCACTAAGGTCTTAAGTTAAACATTAAGATTAGTATGTACATTACATGGGTATGAAATATGGTAGACTATTATTTAGCACATGGGTTAGCTTCCTGAAAATTAAAATGTAATTATTTTAGCTCTAACCAGTCTGAAGAACATGTGAAAAAATAAGAATTTTTTCAGCAAACCTCCAAAAATGCCAAAATAGTTTCTTATTTTATGTGATATTGATCATTAGTTGAAACATTGGAAGATAAGAGTATGGGAAGTTTAGTGTCTGTCTACCGGCTGCATTGATTATATGCTACTTTATCATCACACACTCATAGTATGTTAACAAATGTATAAATTTAATTTAGATTTGCTTACCAAACTGTACCAAAAATTGGAACTCACATCTGTACCAAACAAAAGTGTACTAAAGGTAAATGCATTTGAGATAGTAATAACCAAGGAAAAAAGGCTTACTAATAAAATGATGAATAAGGTTGTGTCTGGGAGAAGTGGAGAGAGAGCTGCTGACTGTGACTTGACTAGCAGTAGTTTTATGAGACCACATATTTCTCTTGTAATGTAACTTAAGTATTTATCCAAATTGTCTGCACAATAGTTATTTTATATTTTCTGTGTATGATGGCTCAATAATTTGTTTAATGAGAGTAGGCAACTGTTAAGGGGTTACAGGACCCACTAGTTAGAACCACAATATGCTTAGGCTGAAACTGAAGCAGGGGAAATGAGACACTTCATACCTTTTAAGATATAACTGCCTTGTCAGAGATTAAAATATGGTGTAGAGTTACCAAGCAGAGGGCTGAGAAGGGGATCTTGAAGTGGTTTGGGCATTTAGAGAGAATGTAGCAGAATGAGATGACCATAAGGGTGTATAAATATGAGATTGAAGGAGAGGTATGGGTCATCCCAGGAAGGGTTGATAATAGGGGTAAAGGAAATTTTAAGTAAGGTATTGTCACCAATTTATACTGTATCCAAGTGGAGTAATGTCAGACTAAGCATTTCCCTATCATTAAAGTGCTAAAATGCAGCCTCTCCTCACTTAGCAATGTACTCGCTTACCGACGACTCGGACTTACGACAGGCTCTCTAACCAGTATACGTACCTTAATAATGTATATTAGAGCTGATTTCCTCTGTTCTGTTTATTACAATATACAGTACACTATTGAATAAACATTTATAAATATACTAAAAATGTTATAAATGGTGCAAAAGTGGCATTAAAACAATATCGAAGATGGTTGACACAAACCTACTACTATTATAGTATGCTCCCCACTTAGCTACGAACACATTTACCGATGTGGTCTTAGGAACGGAACTTGGTCATTAGTGAGGAGAGGCTGTACATCTAAAATTATAAACTAGTGTATATAGTGTTAAACATAAAAAGCAAGTAAAAAAATTGAAAAATAATTATAATTTAGTATCATGTTGTAAAACGTAATTGTCACCGAGACATTTACATTGCTGTTTAGTCAACTTCGACAAGCCATAAAATCGTAAGTTGTTATCAGATTCCACTCATTTTAGTATTATTCAATTCATAAAAATAACACTTTCATTCTGTAAGTTTTTTTAATACCATACAGACAGGAATTTTTTTCTGGGAATACCACAGTTGAAGGGTTAAGATTCATATTACATCTCAGTATATCCAGTTTAGGGGATGGACAACTTAGAGTTTTCCTCTAAAATTGAATTTTTGGTGCAAGTACAGTAAGTGTGACTGTTGATCATCAACACCATACTATATATTTTTAGCTAACTTAATTGTTAACATAAAGAGACTAATTTTTGTGTTCTTTCTCAACAGGAAGTGCTTTAGAGGATTTAAGCCTAGATGAACCTTTGAACATTGCTGCATCTTTAGATAGAGAACTAGAAGTGGAAAATAATTCTTTAAGTAATTCTATATCAACGGGTTTAGCTAGTTCAGGTGAGAAGCTTTTTGAAATACAGTGGTACCTTGGGATGCGAACTTAATTCATTCCAGAAGGCTGTTCGAGTGCCGATACCAAAGGAATAATGTAAATTAGATTAATCTATTTCACACCCCCAAAAATACACTTACAAAAGCACTTACATAATTTTTTTTTTTTCATCAAACCGGCCGTATTCCACCAAGGCAGGGTGGTCCAAAAGTACTTACATAAATATACTTACATAATTGTTCGAGTTTTGAGCTGTTCGTATCCTGAGGTACCACTGTACCTACTGAAGTGGGGAACAGTGAAAGTATTCTAAGGTGAAGTACTTTAGGAATAGAAATACAGTAGCCTGTCGGATAACACGGTAGTCACGTTCCTGAAAACGGTGTGTAATAAAAAAAATCGTGTAAACTGAATTGAAGAATATATGGAAAAAATTGGGTTACCCTTGTTGGACTCCAAAATTTTTTTTATGAGTCTCAAAATTGCAAACAGCAGTGATGATGTAATTGAAGGTTGATGTGATGTGCATCAAAGATCCTGCAGCCACATCTCTGTTAGCAGACAAAGGTACTTTATTGTTTGATTGTCCTACTTGCTTCAACTGTATGGGAGTTATAAAGGATAGGTTAGAATGGTTGGGGTGTACTTGAGAGGAGTAAAGCAGTTAGGGTCAATGGGCTAGATGTGGGGGTTTGGGACTGCTGTTGTGGGAGGTGAAGACTGAATGGTGGAGGGGTGGGGGCAAGAGCTGGAGGCTGGTGTTAGGAGGTGAAGGATGCTGGGTGGTGGAGGGGTGTGGGGGGTTGGAGCTTGGAAACAGTGAAGTGGTGTGATGGTGGCCATGTGGTTGGCAGTCTGGGTGGTGGGTGACTGGGTGGGTGAGTGTTGTTGATGGTGTGGGCAGTAATGAGGGTGATGGGTGGCTGCATAACTTGGTGAAAGCATGGGTACAGTGTGGGTATTCGAGGAAGTCTGTGTGGGCTTGAAGCTGTGGGGTAATGATATGAGTGAAAACATGAGTAAGGTGTGGGAGTGGGGTCATGTGGGGGAGTTTTGTGAGTGAAAGGTGTGGTTGTCAGTGGCTTGGTGTGGGTGGTGATTGGATGATGGGTGACTGGGTGGGTGATGTAGGCAGTAATGAGGGTGGTGATAGTGAGGGATTCAGTGTGGGTGGTGTATTTGGGTGAAAGGCCATGTAAGGTGTGTGGCTGGGCAAGGTGTGGTCATCAGGTAATGGGGGAAATAGTGTAGGTGTGAGCTGTGAGGGGGGGGAGAGTTACATGGGCAGGTTGTGTGGGTGGAGGATGCTGGTTGGAATGGTGTGGGTGAAGGCGTGTGCTTGTGGGGGAATTTTAGGGGTGGGTGGTACAGTGTAAATGATTTTTTTTATGACATGTACACTGAGAATATATCGCAATTTTGCAAAACATGTTAACAGATTGCGTGTTATTCGATGGTTTATTGTAGATTAATTGTATACATGACTATTTGATAAGACCTGCACAAAAGCAATTTAGAAGTATGGTACCTACTTATTTTACGAAAGTTATAAGATTCTCCAGTAAACTGTATTCAGTTCCTAAGTGTTGAAGTAATGGATTTAACGATCAGATTGTGATACTTATGGACTTTACTGAAGCTTCACCATTATGTCTCCTCTAGGATTGCTTGGGTCTAGTGCGCCAGTAAACATTCCTGGCTCTAACTTTCAAGAACGATCTGGAGGCTTAATTACTAATCCTTCACCATCATCTACTTCGTCTCCAGCCTTCCCACATTCATTTTTGCAGTCGTCATTACACCGTGAAAACTCCATGGACCAGGTATCTTTGTAGTTATTGCTCTTAGGTCTGTTTCTTGTTGTAGATCTGAAAAATGTAATGCCTTTTTTACTCCATAATAAAATTAAACAAAACATCAGTTTGATATGTAGTAGATGGCAAAAGTTGAAGACATACAGAGAGAATAAGCTTTTTATTTAGTAAATATAAGGTTTACTTTGTATCTTTTGTTCATGAAAGACCCCGGTTTTTTCATAGTATTGCATGGCCAATAGTTATCATGTATATAATATCTGCAGTGTTTTTGTAATAACTTACAGGGAGCAGCAGCAGCAGCATTCCTGGGCAATAATGGAGTAGGCAAAATAACAGGAGGAAGTGGAGTGTTCTCATCAAGTAACACAAGTGCAAGTCTCTTTGACCTTGGTTCCAACATGTCCCCACACAGTCGAAATCCACTCAGCAATCCTTTGTCACAGTCTCCCCTCATGACTCCCTTCAGCAGCAACAGCAGCTGCAGTACCTCAGAGATTCAACGCCTGAGAGAGGAACTGGTCACAAACCGAGCCAAGGTGGGTGAAGCTTAGGGGCTGATTTTTAAACTGCATTTTAAAAAAGCTTTATTTAAAATATGGGTTAGAAATTAACCTTATAAGATACAGTATCTTGAAAAAAAAAAACCATACCATGGGCGGGGATAGAGCCCACGATCAGAGAGTCTCAAAACTCCAGACCGTCACGTTAGCCACTGTAAAAACTTGCATTTGTGGTCACAGTGGTGCCTATGCTAACCTTCCTATGGTGTAGAAATATACCTAGTTGGACAATCTTATTGTGGCTAGCTGGTCCAGTGGCTAACACGATGGTCTGGAGTTTTGAGACTCTCTGATCGCGGGTTCTATCCCCGCCCGTGGTATGGTTTGTTTGCAATCGTGTCATTACGATTTCGTGAGTCAGTATCTTGAAATTAGTCAGTTGGTGTTCAGTATGCCTTCATCTCAAATGCAGCACTTTTTCCCACACTTCGTCTCGAAACCAATCCCAAGATTCCTCCATAAATACGCCGTCTCACGCATGTATTCCTTCACTTGCTCTTTCCATCATAATTTATGCTGTATCTGCATTTTCCTTGTTGGGTCACCCTACTTTAGTGGGAATGGGCTGGTGTGTAAAGAAAAAAAAATCTGTTCCTAATTCCACTCGACAGTCAAGATATACCGTTAGTCATTTTGTCAATATTTGCTCCCTCCATATGTCATAAACTTTATCAGTATGAAACATACAGTATTTCTTAAAGCAGAAATTCATTTGAGCTTGAGATATCCCTTCCATTTCCCGTAACGAAACATTTCTTTATCTCGCATCACGGGAGGGCATTGCTTACGCTTCAGATATCCCTTCCATTCCTTATAACATAAAACATTTTGTAGCTGGCTTCATGGGAGGAGGGCATTGCTCAGGCACGGACAGCATGTGAGGCTTGGAGACGTGAGGCCGACGACGCCAACAGGAAATATAAAATGGCTGAACAGACCAAGGAGGAGGTATGGGAAGTCCTGCTCAGACACATTTATCTTTATGTAGTACACTACTCAGTACTAAACCCACTTTAAGAAAGAAAAATGGCAGAGATGGGAAAACATTATTAAAGGTGATGTCTTTTAATATTAGAGTTGGGTGATATTTAGTATAATAATTAGTAACCATCTTATTTTTCCCAGTCCCAGTGTGAGCGAATGCACGCCAGATACACTACAAGAGTGCAAAGTTTTGTATTATTTCTTTTCTTTAGCTTTTCTGTTTTTCCCCCCAGTAACTCAGTAGGCCTATTGGGTGATGTATGGTACGTCAGGCGAGCGGTATTTCCTTCTCTATTTCCAAATCCAACTCTTGTTGAGTACACTTAACAAAGTATTATATTACCTGCAAAATATAAGACAGTAAAAGGATACAATGAAGGATTACATGGATAGATGAGAGGAGTGTTTTTATGGAGGAATCTTTTTTATATAAGAAGAGGAAGGCTTTACTTTCTTACTTAATCATATGAAGAGAGTATAGAAATGCAGTATGTTCTAAAGAGCATGTCGGTTAAATTTGCATTTTATGGGCAATTATATAGAATATAAGCCTTGACAATTATAGATGACAGAAAGAACCCACTGAAAGATGTTAATACACCATCCTTGTTCGTTGTTGGTAACTTTTTGAGAGATTATGTACAGCATATTGTGAGAGTTGACTACAAAATAGCAGTAAGCTTCACACCCAGAGGTCACTGAATGGCAAAAGAGCTATAAATAATTAAAAGTATTGGGAAGCATCAAGAATAATTAAGGGAGTTTAATACATGACCTCACACATTCTATTAATCCTTGTATTGCAAGTGAGCAACTTTCCTATATGCATTTGTGTATATAGCCACGTCAAGATTGAATAAAATTACAGTGAAACTCCTGATTATAGTTTTGGATGGCCAAAATTTGACTTAGCAGCCAGTTTCTTAATCTAGTATAGAGAGGGGCTTGACTTTGATAAAAAGAGTGGTCATATTTATTTTTATTTTTAGCAGATAACACTTTTCATTTTAAACTATCTACCAATGCATGTAAGACAAGCTCTCCTTTTACAGTTTGCAAGTAAGATAACAGCCCAGCAGAAGGAAATGGAAGAGCTACGAGCTGGACGTTTAGGACCATATGTACAGGCCCTCCACCCTCATACTGACTTGGAGAAGCTGCCACTGCACACTCTAAAGGCTTTACAATCTCAACTTCGGCAAGATTTAGACTCCATAGAAAAAGTAAGTTTCAGACTAATGTCAGGTTTTACTTGTAATGTGTTTCTAGAGTCTTCCTACTCTTACCTGGTCAACTTGTTTCACATTTCCTGTAAATAAAGTTTACATTGTATTGTATCTACAGTATTCTTTGTTTACCTTCCTGTGGTTCCAGTTAAGTGAAATAAAATAGCATAGTAAAATGTTGAAGAAATTGAATAGTGAGAGCATAGTGCTAGTGGGCTTATAATTATAAAGAACAAAATATTTATAAAACTAATGTCCAACTTCATAACAGGCAGGGGATAAATTTTCTAATGGTTATTGATCAAATATGATTGTTGGAAATTTGATAACTGATGTAATTACATATAATGTATTCTTAAATTTTCTAGTAAGTAATGAGTTTTGTCTTTGACAGGTTATAAATAATTATGGAAGTAAGGGAGAGAAGTGGCCTGGGTCAGGTCCTACATGGTAAGGCTGTAGTCAGTTAGGTCATACTTGGGAGTGCTGTTGCTGCCACTGCTTCTCTTTGCCGCCACATCTTGTTAAGTTTTGTAGAAGTATTGTTTATAGGCTATTTTTGCACGTTGATGGTACAGTCAAATTATAATTGAATTTTATTGTCTCTACCAGAAAAAGTGAAAAGTGCATAAGTTTTTATTGTACTAAAGATATGATTGATTATTAAACTTGGTGAACCCAGTTTTCTCATCTTCCCTGCCCTGCCATTCCCTGGCCTTAATCGTTTACTGCCACACTGCTGTGCCCAAAATACTTCCTAATGCAATGCTCTGCCCAATACAATACTTTGCCCAGTAGAATGTTCTGCTCAGTAAAATGCTCTGCCTAACACAGTACACACACTGTATAACACAATACCAAACATGCTGCATCACCAGTTATGGCATATATAAACAGTCATTGTAGTGACCTGCACTCGATCACGGCTGCCACTACATCCATACCATGATTCCTCACAATTCCACAGTTATTTATTAAAAAAAAACTGTGCTGATGACTGAGGATATATGTCTTGATTTAATTTGAGGTAATACTGTACTATAATGATCCTGGAGTTGGGATGCTTACTAAGATAAACTGTGTACCAGTATGAAGACTTCTGTTTGTTTTTTGTTTTTATTAACATGTCGACCATTTCCCGCCAAGGCAGGGTGACCTGAAAAGGAAGAAATGCTTTCATCATCGTTTGCTCCATCGCTGTCTTGCCATAGGCATGCCTACACTACAATTAAAAACTGCAACATCAACACCCTCCTTCCGAGTGCAGGCACTGTACTTCCCACCACTCTCTTAACCTCTCTTTTTCTTTCTATATGCTCTTCCCTATTTGCATCACTTCTGTTTTGTAAAAACCTCTCATGTGCTAACTTTTTCTCTGTTACTACTCTTTACATTATCATTCCACCATTTACTCTTCTTCCCTCCCACACCCACTTTCCTGTAACCACAAACTTCTGCTGAACGCTCTAACACTACATAAAAAAAAAAACCATACCACAGGCGGGGATAGAACCCGTGATCAGAGTCTCAAAACTCCAGACCGTCGTGTTAGCCACTGGACCAGCTAGCCACAATAAGATTCGTCCAACTAGGTATATTTCTACACCATAGGAAGGTTAGCATAGGCACAACTGTGACCACAAATGCAAGTTTTTACAGACGAATCTCCAGCTAGTGTGGCCATGACAAACCCTAGCTCAAGTCCCCTCAAAGCCGTTAACATGACTCACGAAATCGTAATGAAACGATTGCAAACAATCCATACCACGGGCGGGGATAGAACCCGTGATCAGAGAGTCTCAAAACCCCCAGACCGTCGTGTTAGCCACTGGACCAGCTAGCCACAATAAGATTCGTCCAACTAGGTATATTTCTAGGTTTATTTGCAGTCGTGTCATTACAATTTCGTGAGTCATGTTAACACTACATTCTTAAACCTACCCCATACATCTTTGACCCCATTGCCTATACTCTCACTAGCCCATCTATCCTCCAACAGTTGTTTACATCCTACCCTAACTGCCTCCTCCTCCTTTAGTTTATAAACCTTCACATCTCTCTTAATTGCTGCTTCTATTTTCCTTGTATTCCATCTACCTTTTACTCTCACCATTGCTACAGCTAAAAAATTATCTGATGTGTCTATGGCCCCTCTGTAAACATGTACATCCTGAAGTCTACTCATCAGTCTTTTATCTACCAATACATAGTCCAGGTAGGGGATGTGTGGACCAGGTGTTTACAGTGAAACATATAAGTGAACAGTATTTAGATAAGGCTAAAGAGGTCTTTGTGGCATTTATGGATTTGGAAAAGGCATATGATAGGGTGGATAGGGGGGCAATGTGGCAAATGTTTTAGGTGTATGGTGTAGGAGGTAGGTTACTGAAAGCAGTGAAGAATTTTTACGAGGATAGTGAGGCTCAAGTTAGAGTATGTAGGAAAGAGGGAAATTATTTCCCAGTAAAAGTAGGCCTTAGACAAGGATGTGTGATGTCACCGTGGTTGTTTAATATATTTATAGATGGGGTTGTAAGAGAAGTAAATGCGAGGGTCTTGGCAAGAGGCGTGGAGTTAAAAGATAAAGAATCACACATAAAGTGGGAGTTGTCACAGTTGCTCTTTACTGATGACACTGTGCTCTTGGGAGATTCTGAAGAGAAGTTGCAGAGATTGGTGGATGAATTTGGTAGGGTGTGCAAAAGAAGAAAATTAAAAGTGAATACAGGAAAGAGTAAGGTAATGAGGATAACAAAAAGATTAGGTGATGAAAGATTGGATATCAGATTGGAGGGAGAGAGTATGGAGGAGGTGAATGTATTCAGATATTTGGGAGTGGACGTGTCAGCGGATGGATCTATGAAAGATGAGGTGAATCATAGAATTGATGAGGGGAAAAAGGTGAGTGGTGCACTTAGGAGTCTGTGGAGGCAAAGAACTTTGTCCTTGGAGGCAAAGAGGGGAATGTATGAGAGTATAGTTTTACCAACGCTCTTATATGGGTGTGAAGCATGGGTGATGAATGTTGCAGCAAGGAGAAGGCTGGAGGCAGTGGAGATGTCATGTCTGAGGGCAATGTGTGGTGTGAATATAATGCAGAGAATTCGTAGTTTGGAAGTTAGGAGGAGGTGCAGGATTACCAAAACTGTTGTCCAGAGGGCTGAGGAAGGGTTGTTGAGGTGGTTTGGACATGTAGAGAGAATGGAGCGAAACAGAGTGACTTCAAGAGTGTATCAGTCTGTAGTGGAAGGAAGGTGGGGTAGGGGTCAGCCTAGGAAAGGTTGGAGGGAGGGGGTAAAGGAGGTTTTGTGTGCGAGGGGCTTGGACTTCCAGCAGGCATGCATGAGCGTGTTTGATAGGAGTGAATGGAGACAAATGGTTTTTAATACTTGACATGCTGTTGGAGTGTGAGCAAAGTAACATTTATGAAGGGGTTCAGGGAAACCGGCAGGCCGGACTTGAGTCCTGGAGATGGGAAGTACAGTGCCTGCACTCTGAAGGAGGGGTGTTAATGTTGCAGTTTAAAAACTGTAGTGTAAAGCACCCTTCTGGCAAGACAGTGATGGAGTGAATGATGGTGAAAGTTTTTCTTGTTCGGGCCACCCTGCCTTGGTGGGAATCGGCCAGTGTGATAATAAAAAAATAAAAAATAACATAGTCCAACAAACTACTGTCATTACACTCTATGTCATATCTTGTATATTTATTTACCCTTTTTTCCTTAAAGTATGTATTATTATCAAACCCCCTTCCTGTACAAAGTTTAATCAAAGTGCCCCCATTATCTTTTACACCTTGCACCCCAAACTTACTTACCACTCCCTCTCTGTTTCTGCCGCTTTAGCATTTAGGTCCCCTACCACAATTACTCTCTCACTTGGTTCAAAAGTTCCTAAACATTCAGTATCTCCCAAAATCTCTTTCTCCTCTACACTTTTCTCTTCTTGAGGTGCATGTACACTTATTATAACCTGCTTTTCACATCCAATCCTTATTGTAATCTACATAATCCTTGAATTTATACATTTATATTCCCTCCTCTCCTGCCATAACTGATCCTTCATCATTATTGCTACACCTTCCTTAGCTCTCTCTCAGATACTCCTGACTTAATCCCATTTATTTCTCCCCACTGAAACTTCCCTACCCCCTTCAGCTTTGTTTTGCTTAGTTATTAATAAATTATTGCTTACTACCTCCTGCCATCCTTGTTCTGCCACCTTGTTACCTTTCTCCACTTTGTCCTTCCATAATTACCTCTTAACACTTTGTCCCTCCATAATTACCTCCCAACACTGTCCCTCAATAATTACCTCTCAACACTTTGTCCTTCCATTATTATCTCCCAACACTTTGTCCCTCCATAATTACTTTCCACCAACACTTAAGTTTTGTAGACTATGCAGGCAAGCAACTTTATTATTCTTTAACCCTTTCAGGGTCCGTCCCGTAGATCTACGGCTTTACGTTCAGGGTCCAAACCGTAGATCTACGTCATGAGCTCAGCTCACTCTGATAAACTGTGAGTGGTAAATTTGGGCCTAGATATGAGAGAATACATCTATGTGGTATGTGTGCACCACATAAAACAAATCCTGCAGCACACTGTGTATAATGAGAGAAAAAAACTGAGACCGTGATTTTCGATTAAAACAGCGACTTTGCAGTGTTTTTCGTATGTTTTTTATAGTTGTATTTGTGATTTCTTGGTCTCATTTGATAGAATGGAAGACATATCACAGAAATAGAGATAATTTTGATTGGTGTTAGCACTGGAAATGGCTTGAAACTGAGCTCAAAGTGGCGGAAATGTTAAATTTTTGCCGATGTTCAAGAGTAAACAAACGACCTCACACATCTTATACACGCCAGCTGGTGGGTCTAATATACATTCACAAATGTGGTGATGATATTTATACAATTATTACAATATTGCATAACAGTAAATCTTCTATTTTTTGGTGTGAATAAAAATTCATTATGTGAACAAAAATTCAAAATGGAATTTATTTGTAAAGCCTCAAAACATAACTAATGAACAGAGGAAATGTTAGTTTAGTGCCAGGAATACCTACATTGTTTATTCTGGACCCTATTTTGAAATTGGAATATTTTGAACTTTGTGTTAAATTGGCCAAATTACCAATTTCTGGTCACTTTATTTTGTAGTTGAAATGGTTGACTTGGTGATTTCTTGTGCTCAATCGATAGAATAGAAATAATACTAGTGAAATAGCTAAGAATTTGGTCGACTGGAATAATGTAATTGGCCTAAAATGGGAGTCAAAGTCGGCAAAATCGCCGATTCGTAAATATCACCGACACATCAAAATTCACGAGAGCATAATTTCGTCAATTTTCCATCAAATTTCATACTTTTTGTTTTATTACCTTCACAAAAAGATTCTCTACCATTTCATAAGAAAAAATAAAAAAAAATTTTTTTGAAAATTCTTGGACACTGGGGCACCACTTAAGATTTTGGCCTTGGACCCTGAAAGGGTTAAGACTGTATGGTATGCCTAGAAGCATCATTATAATGTTGCTGAAGCATTATTTCCTCTGTATGTTTTTGCCTTCACAGAAAATGCTTAAGCTTGTGTTGGCACAATGTCACATTTGTTCTGATTCACCAAAATTTCAGTGTCATTTCTCATGTTTTCCTAATTCATTCTTACATAATTATATCCTCAGCCAGCAGATTTCCTGTTATTGATCTGTGATCAGTGCAATATGCATGTATTCTTTGGTGGGCCTAATGAGGGGGTTTTGTTTTTGTCAGTATTATGATAAAAGTTTGCATACATTAGCAAGAAGTAGAACAGCTTAGAATGATCAGGATTTGATGTGACCCCATGCAGTAGAGCCTCTTGTGAGAGCTCTCTAAAAAAAATCTTGACTCTTTGCTTAGTCAAAGAGTCAAGTGAAATATTAAGTACATTATAGTTAAAATAAATGTTAGTGTATTGGAAGTTGTTTGCTCAGACGTCTATGACAGTTAGGTACTTCAATGCTAAAAGGCTCAGTTGTGCGTGGGATTGATCAAGAAGTACATCTTTGCTAAGAGTGTCAGTTGTGCATGGGTTTGATTAGGAAGTACATCCTTTCTAACAGTGTCAGTTGAGTAGGGTTGACCAGGAAGTGCATCCTTGTTAACAGTGTTGTATGTATGGGGCTGACCAGAAGTACATCCTTGCCTGTCGTACCGTGATTCACATGGTAGAGAAAATCTTAATAGTTAATACCAGATAATAATTTGACTTAACGTGCTATCCAAGTGATTCTCCCCAATATCTGGATATTATTTACATAAGGACAACTCACTGACTAACTGATATGGTGTGTCTTTGAGTACCTCTTTTTAAGAAATAATATACACTTTTAGCTGCTTCACAGAGTGGACAGCCACTAGTCGCTACCTAAGTTGGCACCTTCTGCCACCGAGGTATTCAGACGACTGATTCAGTACAAAGAATGCAACAATGAAAGTCTCATTAGGGTAGGGAAATTACTGCATTTTAGATGTAGTATTGTAGTGTAGGTGTTGAAATGTGTTGGGTGTAATGTGAGATGGGTGCTGTGACACAAATTGACAACCTGCTCCCATTGGATGGATAAAAGCAGAAATTGCCAGTTATTTGAATTTCAAGTACAATATTCTAAGTGATGTTTGGAAAGTACATTCTCTCTTGGATAAACTTTCCAAATTAATTCAGTTTGCTATTTCTGTGTAAGGGGAGAGATTTTAGTTTTCCCAGGCACGTCGAGGGAGATTGTCGTAACCTACCATTACTGTTGCCAAGTGACAATGCAAAGGATTTGTTTTTAAACCTGTACCCTTAGCAATAATGTTATGAGAGAGACGACAGGTTCAGAAGCGGAGCATTTCAGCCAAGTTGTATCATTGTGGCATCTCTGCATTGACATCATTTTTTTTTTATCAAAATGCTACTGATGAGCATATTTTATTCATGGATTTTTTTGTAATTGTAATCAAAACCTTAATTAGGTGATGAGATCAATATTTATATTTCTTAGATTAGTACAACAATTTTATATGACTTTAATGAAGCTATTTTTAACGAGGTGAGTGGTTGCAAGAGTCTGAAAGGCAGCAGTGCTGCACATGTTGATGTACAACCTTGCAGGGACTCAGCTGCTTAGCTTATCTCATTTTCTAAATAGACTCACAATTGTTAAGGATCTTTTTTAGACCAAGTAACAAAATGTTTGTCATTTACAATTTAGGATTTTCTAATTAATGTAAATACTATAATAAGCAAGCTACAGTGCAGAATAAAAGTTGCAATAGTTGAGTGTGTTTGGCATAGTTTTGTATACAGTATAGTAAAAGTTTTAGCCCTTATACTAGACACACTTCAGCAGCCACTCCTTTAATAAACACAACATTGAGGCACCATTTTAAAGCATTTAGATTTGTTTTAATTTGCTGATGTACATTGGATGTTCAGTTCATCAGTAAAGTTAGTGCATGACATAGGTTACAAGATGTTGATGTTTCACACAACAGACCTTTTAACAGTGGAATGAGTACATAATTTAAGCTACAAAACATTTTTCTTCAGTATTACTGGCCTACAGGTTAACCATGTAGACTTCATCTGGCAGTACCTAGACTTTTCCTTGCTTCACTTAAAAACTGAACTTAATCTAGATTAATATATAATATTTATTACTTTAGACTTTTTTAAAAACATTCCTGTAGATAATTTTTTCAAATCATTAGGAAAAATAGAATAAGAGCAGAATAAAATAAGTACTGTATATAATTGAGAAATAGTTGTTGCAGATTAAACAAATCTTACATATGGAGATTAAGATGAGTCACTTTAGTCACATTTCAGGATTTCGTACAGTGTAACCGTTCTTTTAACATATCGGCTGTATCTCACTGAGGCAGGGTGACCCAAGAAGAAAAAAAAAAGTTTTTCCTTTTAAATTTAGTAATTTATACAGGAGAAGGGGTTACTAGCGCCTTGGCCTGCTTATAATGTATTACTAATAAAAATTCTTCATAAGATCATAGCTAACATTTACCTGACTAAAGAACACTGCTGAAGATGCACCTATTATCCATAGATGGTCTTTGATGTCAGAAGTAGTACAATCAGAGCATATTTTAATACACCATGAGAATAGTTGTGCATGTGTCTTTGATAATTTTGCTACATTGCAACCTATTCTGGACCTCACTTGTCATTGAACTCAATTTTTTTTTTCTCTCTCCAATTCTACTTGCTGCTTACCTTCCTACTTAGGTAAGATGTTAACCCAAACCTGGTGATACTTACCTGAGATAATACAAATAATTGTTATTCAGTATGTGGCACAGTATACACTTATTTATGTTGTATATAATGTCTTTTTTTTTTTTTTTTTTTTTTTTTTTTTTTTTTTTTTTAAGTTTTGGCTTGGTGCTGTGATAATTGTATTTTAATAATTTATATTGTTGCCCTGATGCATTGATGGCTGTTGCAGTTGTATTGTGCTATTTATGAGTATTAAAAATATTCCTGTGTACACTTAGGATTTTGTCAGTCAACTTCAATTCCAAAGTATGGTATAAATAATTTTTTTACCTTTCAAGCTAGAGCCTTGACAGTTAATATAAAAATTAGTAAATCAAAAAAGTTTGACAAAATCTAGTACAGTAGTGAGGTTTGCTGTCATTATGTTTATGGAATGGCTATAAGCTATTAGTGCATTCATTTGTTAGTTTTAGCTCTCTCAAAAAATGTCAGTGTATTAGTACAACTTGTAAGCACAAGGCATATAAGTCTTGTGACAAATATGTAGTACCACCATGTGTAGACGATCAAGGGGCAATGCTTCTTACAAAATGTGTTCATAACATACCTCCATAACTCATACCCTTAATTATAGGAAATATTGTACACCGTTGATTTTTTTGTGATCTTAAAAGGAGAAACTTTGCAATTATTTTTTTTTTTAAGTGCTGTAAACCCCCCTCATAACGTGCAAGATATGTTCCTGAAAATTGTTGCCTTGTGGAAAATTGTTATGGAAAATGAAGAACATGGGAAAAATAAGGTTATGTTCCAGAGACTTCAAAAATACCAAAATGTTTTTTATTTAAATGTCATTATTTGTTAAAAAATATAAATTTTATCTTTACATACATATATTCTGGTTGACATTGCTTGTTGCCTTGGAAGTGTAAGGAGAGGAGTGTTCAGTGGTCAGTCGTCAGTGTTCAGTGGTCAGTCGTCAGAGTGTTCAGTGGTCAGTCGTCAGTGTTCAGTGGTCAGTCGTCACGTGAGGTCACAGACCCTGAGCTGCTTTGGGGATTAGCGTGGACGGTTACAAAGCATGGCTTGCTTCTGCAGTGTTTTAAAAACTGAGTTTGGAGAGTTGAAGGAGGAGGTCTTGCTTCTCCAGGAGGAGATTAGGAGGCTGAAGGTCCACCTCAATGGGCCTGGGAGAGAGTGTGAGGTGGTTGGAGATGTGGGGAATGAGGCTTCTAGCAGTGAGGTGCAGTCTGTCTCTCACTGTGAGGAGGCTGTAGGTGGGGAGGTAGCAACGGGTACCAGCAGTGAGGTGCACCCCAGCACCTGCTACAAGTGGCGAGTTGTTCACAGAAAAGGGAGGCGCATCAGAGTAAGGAAAGTTAAGAGTGAAGATCTGAAGGTAGGAAATGCTTTTTCTGTTCTCCGGGATAAATTTGTACTTCAGTGGCCAGTGAAGGTAAGGGTACTACTGCCCCTGCTAATGAGGTAAGCGCATTCTTGTGGTTGTGACTCTCAGGTAAGATATGTTGACCGTGCTTTTGTAATAGGAATAAGAAGATGAGAGATAAAAGTGTGCTTCCTGGAGCTGGTGTTGGGGACATTGTCAACAGACTGGATAATATAAATGTCAGGTAATGGGAACAAGCCCATTATCTGTCTCCAGTGTTTGGTGGAAATGATTTTGGGGAAGGGTGGGAGAGAAGAGTGCTAGATAAGTACAGGTCAGCTATAGATTTCATTAAGTCTAAGGAGGGTTTCCCAATCATATGTAGCAATCTTGCCTAGAAGGGGAGTAGAAATGAATGGTTGTCTGGGGCCCAATTGGTGAAAATTTGGGCTGGCTAGACAGATACTGAAAGGGAACTTGCAATCCCATTCATTGACAACTGGAACAACTTTTATGGCAAACATGATTTTGTATGCAAGGGATGGGGTTCATCTCTCTGGGGCAGGGGTGGTAGCACTTGCAGACTCGATTGAGAAGGCCATTGGTGAAATGCCTATGATTTTAAACTGATGGAAGATAGAGGTAATGGGTGTGTGTGGGGAAAACAAGCAAGGGTTTCAAAAACTAGGGTTGGAAACAGTAAATGTATAAAAGGCATTCAGCATGAAGTTATAAAATAAGACAATAGAACAGGTCAGAAAACAAAGGGGACAGCAGAGGGCAGCAAGGGACTAGCTCCCTTAAGGTTTACTATACTAATAGCAGGAGTGTAGAAATAAGATAGATGAGCTAAGATTAATTGCAAGTGCAGGAAAAACATAGATATTATTGCTATAACAGAACCTGGCTCAATCTGAAAGATAGAGAGATGCCATCTGAATGTCACATACAAGGCTATAAATTATTCCACACTGACAGGGTCAACAGGAAAGGTGGTGGAGTAAACGATGTTATGTCAGAGACAATTTAATTGTTGTGTTAGACAAGATATTAAATTTGAAGCGTCAGCCACTGAATCTGTTTGGTTACAGCTTATGCGAGGGCCGAGAAAAACTAATTTTTGGGTGTGATTTACAGGGCCCCAATCTTATAGGGAGTGCAGTAAACTTCTATGGGACGAAATTCGTAAGGCATCTACAACGAAAATGTTGTGCTAATGGGAGATTTCAACTATAGACAGATTGACTGGAGCAATTTGACAGGAAATTTAGAGTCGGGTGACTTTCTTGATACGATCCAGGGTTGTTTTTTTAAAACAGTTTGTGACAGAGCCAACTAGGGGAAATAACCCCTTTACTTGGTTCTTGCCAGTAGGGAAACACTAATTAATAATCTTGAGGTTAATGATGAGCTTGGGGAGAGTGATCACAAATCACTCAGTTTTAAATATCATGGAATTCCCCTAATAATGGCAATCAAGTCTCCGTCCCTGACTTTCGCTTGGCTGATTTCATAGGACTGAAAAAATTTCTTTGGTGGGCTGAATGGAATGCCTGACTAGGGGTCAGGTAGGTGGTGATGGTTGCCGATATGATGCTTTCCAGGGCTAGTTCTAGCTGCTCAGTCAAATTATGTTCCAAAAAGGGAAATCAGATCAAACAAAAATGATCCTAAATGGATGAACAATAGATTAAAATATCTGATTGGTCAAAAGAGAGGCATAAAATAGGCAAATCAAAAGAGGGAGGGGCAATTAAGAAATCGATATATTCAGTTAAAGAGAGAAATAAAAAAGGGAATTAGAAAAGCAAAAAGAGATTATGAGGTTAAAGTTGCAAGAGAATCGAAGACTAACCCAAAAGGATTTTTTCAGGTATACAGGGAAATAAGATCAGGGACAAGATAGGCCCACTCAAAAGTTCCTCGGGGCAGCTCACTGACAGTGATAAGGAAATGTGTAGAATTTTTAACACATACTTCCTCTCAGTTTTTACACAGGAGGATACCAGTGATATTCCAGTAATGAATAAATTATTGTGAACAGGACGAAATAAACTGTGCACTATTAGGGTCACAAGTGACATGGTCCTTAGGCAAATAGATAAATTAAAACCTAACAAATCCCCAGGGCCCTGATGAACTGTATGCAAGGGTTCTAAAGGAATGTAAAGAGGAGCTTAGCCACCTTTGGCAATCTTTTCAACATATCACTACAAACTGGCCCTGGTGCCAGATAAGTGGAAAAGGCAAATGTGATACCTATTTTCAAAACAGGTGACAGGTCCTTAGCTTCGAACTATAGACCATAAGCCTAACCTCCATAGTGGGAAAATTTATGGAATCAATAATTGCCGAGGCAGTTTCGTAGCCACCTTGAAAAGCATAAATTAATCAACGAATCCGCATGGTTTTTACAAAGGGACGTTCCTCCCTTACGAATTTATTAACTTTTTTCACTAAGGTATTTGGGAGGTAGATCATGGAAAACGAATATGATATTGTGTATATGGACTTCAGTAAGGCTTTTGCAGGGTCCCCACTCAGAGACTATTGAGGAAAATTAAAGCACATGGAATAGGAGGAGAAATTTTTTCTGATAGAGGAGGGTTTTGACAAATAGGCAGCAGAGAGTTTGCATAAATGGGGAGAAATCAGAGTGGGGAAGCGTCACGAGCGGTGTTCCACAGGGGTCAGTGTTGGGCCCCCTGCTGTTCACAATCTACATAAACGACATAGATGAGGGCATAAAGAGCGACATCGGCAAGTTTCCCGATAAACACCAAAATAGGCCGTCGAATTCTTTCTGACGAGGACATTCGAGCACTCCAGAAGATTTGAATAGACTGATGCAGTGGTCGGAGAAGTGGCAGATGCAGTTTAATATAGACAAATGCAAAGTTCTAAATGTTGGACAGGACAATAACCATGCCACATATAAACTAAATAATGTAGATCTTAATATTACGGATTTGCGAAAAAGATTTAGGAGTTCTGGTTAGCAGTAATCTGAAACCAAGACAACAGTGCATAAGTGTTCGCAATAAAGCTAATAGAATCCTTGGCTTCATATCAAGAAGCAATAAATAATAGGAGTCCTTTAGGTTGTTCTTCAACTCTATACATCCTTGGTTAGGCCTCATTTAGATTATGCTGCACAGTTTTGTTCACCCCCGTATTACAGAATGGATATAAATTCTCTGGGAAAATGGGACAAAGGAGGATGACAAAAGATGATCCCATGTATCAGAAAAACCCTTTCCCCATGAGGTATAGACTAAGGGGCCCCGAAACTGCACTCTTAGAAGACGTAGAATTAGGGGGGATATGATTGAGGTTTATAAGTGGAAGACAGGAATAAAATAAAGGGGGTGGGAAATAGTGTGCTGATAATATCTAGCCCAGACAGGACTCGCAGCAATGGTTTTAAGTTGGAAAAATTCAGATTCAGGAGGGTATAGGAAAGTACTGGTTTGGTAATAGAGTTGTGGATGAGTGGAACAAACTCCCAAGTACCGTTATAGAGGCCAGAACGTTGTGTAGCTTTAAAAATAGGTTGGATAAATACATGAGTAGATGTGGGTGGGTGTGAGTTAGACCTGATAGCTTGTGCTAACGGGTCGGTTGCCGTGTTCCTCCCTTGAGTCAATGTGACCTGACCTGACTAGGTTGGGTGCATTGGCTTAAGCCGGTAGGGACTTGGACCTGCCTCGCATGGGCCAGTAGGCCTTCTGCAGTGTTCCTTCGTTCTTATGTTCTTATGTTCTTATATGATGCTACAGAGCAAAGGCAGACAACTGTATTTCTATTGATGTGGATGTACAGTTGTTAGCAGTTGATGGCTGCACTGGAGTGCTCAAGTATTCTATAATGCATTTTTGGTCTGTTTTACCATATAATTAGCCCTTGTGGCTTAGCGCTTCTTTTTGATTATAATAATAATTACCTTATACAGTGGACCCCCGGTTAACGATTTTAATCCGTGCAAGAGGGGTAATTGTTATGCGAAATAATCGCTATGTGAATGAATTTTCCCCATAAGAAATAATGGAAATCAAATTAATCCGTGCAAGACACCCAAAAGTATGAAAAAAAAAATTTTACCACATGAAATATACATTTTCCCACACACAAAGAGAAGGATACATGCACAATAGTAGAGTAGTACATGCACAGTATATATTGTGCATGTACTAGTCTACTAAATGAAGAATAAATGACACTTACCTTTATTGAAGATGCAGCAATGACTGATGAGACACTGTGTCCTGGGAGTGCCTTTTCCTCCTGAGTACTGTAGGTCCTGTTTGGCATTTTTCTTCCAGAACAGGCCTTATCACACTGTGATATGCCACTACGATTCTTAAATCTCTCAAACCAACCTTTGCTGGCTTTAAATTCACCAATATGAGCACTAGTTCCAGGCATTTTTCCCTGTTCACTGGGTGTTAGTCGACTTGTGTGGGTTGTGCATCCTGGGAGACAAGATTAGGACCCCAATGGAAATAAGTTAGACAGTCTTCGATGACACTGACTTTTTTGGGTTATCTGGGTGGCAAATCCTCTGGGGTTAATTGTTTCTTGGTATTCTCAATAAGCCACACCAACAACGGTGCTACAGCAGCAGCAGCAGCTGTACCACCAATAGTAGCGATGGTTGATTGGGTTTATTATACAACCTGGCCAGTCTCGGAGACATGCACTCCACTTTCATACTTATCAATGATCTTTTTCTTCATCTCTATTGTTAATTCTCACCCTTATTGCTGTAGGGTTGGCACTAGAAGCTTTCTTGGGGCCCATGGTCACTTATTTTCCAGAAAAAGCACCGAAAACACTGTAATAATACGAAATATTCCGATTG